CCTGCCCGGACCCCGCCCCCGCCCCGCACCCCACGTGGGACCCCCCCCAGCGCAAATTTGTCCGCTAATGGCGCAGGCGATTATCTGCGGGGCCCTGGGTGTTGTGTGGCCCGCGGGCAGGGCCCGGGTTACAAGCGCCAGGAATCCAGACGGTGTTTGGAGAGGGGGGCGGGGGAGGCCAGTAATTAGTGTAAACCCTTTGTCTGCCTTTGATACCCGCAGCTTCGCCCCGCCGCGGCTTCCTTCGCCTGGAGCGCGCGCAGGGAGGGGGCGTGGGGGGGTGGCCCCCCAGTCCCCGCTGCCCGGGCGGGGGAGGGCCCGCGCCAGGGCCTCCGGGGCGGGCGGGGTGCTGTACCTGCCCCCCTCTCCCCTGCGCCCAGTAACCCCTCCCTCCGTGGGTCCCCCCCTCCAGGTCCAGAAAGGCCGAGATGACGCCGAGCCCCGCTTTGCTGTTGCTGCTGCTGCCGCCGCTGCTGCTGGGGGCCCTCCCGCCGGCCGCCGCCGCCCGAGGTGAGTCCTGGCGCCGGGCCCGGCCGCCGGGCCTCCGCCAGCGACGCCCCTTCCCGCCTGGCCCTGAACCCTGCCACAGTGCCTGCCTGGCAGCGCGTGCCCGGGGCTCACCCTCGGGATAGCCCCAGTCCACCCGTGGGGCCTCATGCTTTCCTGCCAGGAATCTCTACCCCTGCCCCCCTTGAGCAAGCCGGGGGTCCCCACGGACTCACCTCTGGGGTACCCTCATGCACACCCCCCCAGAGCACTCCGCCTCTATGGTGGAATAGCCTTAGCTCCTCACCGTGGACACCCATGTTCTTGATCTTGTTCCCTCCTACTCCTTCCTGGGCCTGGTCCCCCTGTTTCACCCCAAATCTCCCCTCCTGGGACTTGGGGTTCCCTGCAGCTAGTTTTCTGAGCAGTGGGCTGCTTATGGCCATGGTGGGCCCCAGAGAACCTTCAGAGAGACCCCTCAGTTGCCAGGGCAGAATGTGGGAGGCTCTGGGGACACCCCTGGTGTCAGGAGTCCAGGTGATTTCTTCGTCCACACTCTCAGCTTCTACCCTGGACCTGCCTGCCAGCCCAGCCTCACGCAGGCGGGCTAGAGCCGGGGTCCCAGAGTCCCCGATGTGTCTAGGTCATTGCCATGGCAGGCCTGCTTGGTGGTGGGGAGCAGGGAGTTATCTTGAAGCAGCCCCCCCCCAGATGTCCAGGCGACACAGTATATGTGCCCCATGTCACTCCATCTCCTGTGCATGTCCTTAACATCCAATGTCTAAGCGGACGGCCCAGGGATGCTTCTGGATGGACCCCTGCCCCTGGACCTGGCCTCGGAGAGGACACCCCTCAGCCCGGTGCACTGGGGATGCGAGGCCGCCATGTCTCCGAGCAGGAGGGCACGGGGCTGGCTCCCGGCAGCAAGGCGGGACCTGCGGCCAGGCCGGCCCTTTGGGCGCTGACCACTCAGGATCATCCCTGCGCTGGCCGCCAGTCCACTGAGCTTTCGCACCCCCGCCCCCCGCCTGGCGGGCACACTTAGCCGACCAGGCCTTATATGGCTACATTCGGGTGTGGGGTGGCGGGCGACAGCCCAGGTGGGCCTTATGCCACCGTACCCACCCCCCACCCGCTGGGGACTGGCCGGCTGGCTCAAGGGTGGGGGCTGCCCGGGCTCGGCCAGGCCCAGCCGGCGGCTGTCCTGCAGGCCGGGCAATGCCCTGGCCCCGGCCAGTGCTCAGGCCTTGCTGGGCGAGGTCTTCGGCGGTGGCCAGCAACCTTCGACTTTGATTCCTCTTTTATCTGCTTTGATTCCTCATCCTTGCACCTGCCTGTCCTCTGGCCACTCGGCCGGGGTGGCTCTAGAGGCCACCGTCCTGTCCTGGCCATCAGCCTGAGCCCCAGGGAGTGGGGGCTGTGGGCAGCAGATGGCAGTGGGTGGACAGGGCCTGCCTCGGTGCTGAAGGGCCTCAGATGGGCACTCCTTCCACCTCGCCGTTCCCTTCCTCCCCTGCCACCCCAGGCCTTGGCCTTGGGGCTCTGGATCCGGCCTCATCCTGAGCGGGGAAGGCCCTGGCAGGGCCTTCCAAGGGCCTCTGTGGTTAGGGAGTGGAGGTGGGGGTGCAAAAGGAATGCTTTTCCTGAATCAGGTTGGCTTCTCCCCGCCAGCCCCTGCCTGGATGTGGGCACAGCCCGTCCACTCACGCGCTTCCTCTCCGTGAGACCACCGTCCACCCCCCAGGGCCTCACGTACCGTCCACTCGTGGGGCCTCACGTGAAGGCCCTGGCTGTTTTGTGAAAGCTGCTCTGTGGTGGTGTCACAACTTCTGGAAAGGGTACATCTAAACAGGGATCCTGTAAAAAAAAAAAAAAAGTTCCCCTTTCCCCAAAGTTACACAATCCTGGTGGATTTGGTTGAAATTGTTTTCTTTACAATTTGAAAAAAAAGAAAAAGATAGACGTTGACTTCTCTGCTCCCTCCTCTGGTCACCTCGTTTGGGTGAAAATACCTTTCACAGATCGTTTCAAAAGACTTACTTCGTGGCGCCTTCCGAGAGGGTCACACTCTCGTCTTTTCCGTGCTGGGCCACTGATTACATAGGGCACAGGCCCGGGACCACGGCCCTGTCCACAGCTCTGGCCAGGGCTGAGCCCACAGCCCAGTGGGCTGAGTGCCCCAGCCAGTGTCCTCCCCTCTGGGGCCTGACCAGCACCATAGGGCTCTGGGTAGCTTCAGGCCTGTGGGACCTGCTGCTGGTAGCTACTGCAGTGTCAGGAGGGTTCTGGAGCTCTGTGTGAGCCAGTGGGCTGGCCTTGGTGGCCTTGGTGGCCTCTGGTGACCTGGGTCCACACCTTCCTCCCTTTAGGTCCCCTTATCAAGTGTCTTGAGTGGGTTTGTGTAAGGCCAGGGGTGGGAGCAGGGAGCCAGGCCTAGTGGTGTGCTCCGGGTGGCCCAGGAGGTAGGGGTGTGGGACAGCTGCCCCGTTTATGCCTTGGGGGCCCCAATCCTGGAAGAGAAAATAAATCACTGCCCCCTTTAGGGGGGAGCAGGGAGCCGTGAACAAAGTCGCCTTTGGCTGGGCCTGGAAACGCCAGCGACCGCAGGCTCTTTATTCATTGTGTGCCGAATCAATGGCCCGGCAGCCCGGCAGCCGCTCTCAAAGTCCCCTTTCAGCGCTGTTGCCCTTAACCAGGGGAAATGTTGGTTTTTCCCCCCGCCCGGCCTCAGCCTCCGGCTCGCTGGGCCCTGGCTCAGGTGCTGGCCCCACGGGCGGACCCTGTGCTGGCAGCCCTGCTCAGCCCGGGCTGCTCAACCCAGGGCATCCTCTGGGCCCTGACCTTGTCCATGTGACCGCCCCATGGACAGGGTCAAGTCCATGGAGGGTCAGATGTGCCCCGGCCACAGCTCCTAGACCCCAGGATGTCCTATCCATCCACTGCTGTCCCATGCTCTGCCCGTCACCTTTGGCTCAGTTACCAGGTGATCTGGGGAAGTCCCGGGCCGGGGCTGGGTGCTCCAAGGAGCTCTGAGGTCCAGGGAGGTGGGGGTCTAGGGTGGCGCCTGGAGAAGGGCACACAGAGCCTTTAAGGAGGCAGGCCTGCAGGCCGGGCATGTGGGCAGCGGCACGGTGCAGGCCGGGCATGTGGGCAGCGGCACGGTGCAGGCTGGGCATGTGGGCAGCGGCACGGTGCAGGCCAGGCTGGGTAGGCTCTCTGTGGCCTCTGAGATCCTGGCTGGAACGGGGATCAAAGGGAGGTGCTGGGCTTTTTGAGTAGCTTGGGCAGAGGAGTGGGGTTCAGGGAGAGAGGGACTACATCAAGCAGTCCATCCAGGGGGATCCCGTGCCCTTGGGGAATCCCAAGGAGAACCCTTTGCTGCTTCTGGGGCCTGCAGCCCAGCTGACCCTCTCAGCCCCCGATCGGGCACATACACCGGGCTCCCCAGGGAGCCCAGCATGGAGTGTGGGGTGCAGGCAGCCCTATCCGTCCTGACACGATCTCTGACACGGTCCCCGACGCGGTGGGGTGAGGCAGCTGTGGTGGGGAGGGTGCCCGCGGCCTCGGGCTGTTGAAATCCAGGGCTTCCCATCTTGGCAGTGAACACAATCGCTTTTCCTCCTGCTCGCCCGTCCATTTCATGAAAGATTTACACAGGCTGTGTGTCCTGTCAAGTGGCTGAGGACTGAATAATGAGGCCGCTGGCGGCTGAGGGGAAGGACAGGAGGGGGCCCAGCGGCTCCGGGGTGCAGCTCAGGCCTGCTGAGGACCCAGGGACCCCCTCAGGACAGCGGGTGACCCTGCAGAGTGCCAGTGGTTAGACGGGACACTCCCCTCCTCGGGTGACGGGGGCTCAGTGTCCGTACCCATCCACAGCTGCTGGCATTACCGTGTGTCCATGGGGCCAGTGACTGGACCTGGAGGTGTGGGGCTTCTCCTGCTGTGCTGCCCACACGGGCTGCAGTGTGAGCGCCTGTGAGGGGTGCTGGGAAGCCCCAGCTTTGGCAAGAACACAAAGACGCTGAAGGCCAAGATTCGGATCTGAATTTTATCTCAGGGACAGTGGGGCGACAGTGTTGGAAGTGAGCGTTTGGTGTTTCAGCTCGGAGTCTGAGGACCTGGTGAGGCCGAGAAGGTGGACGCTGAGGTGTTCAGGGGGCTCCCTGAGGTCTGGCTGTGCTGCTGGACACCGAAGAAGGGCCCCTGCTGGTGGTCTGTGTGTGGCCCCCGCCCTTGCCCGCCTGTGTCTCGAAGGAAGGAAGGGAGAAAGCCCCCAGGAGCAGGGTCTGTGGAAGGTGCAGCCCCTACCTGCAGCCTCTGGAGGGTACAGACCTGGAGAGCCGGGCAGGTGTCCCCAGGGCCAGTGTCTGCCTTTGGACAGCCTGCTGGGGAGCCGCTGCTCTGTGCAGCACCCAGAAAGGCCCGGGTCTGTGGTCACCACCTGTCCTGAAGGCCTTTCAGTTCTGCTGCTGGTTCAGTGGGTCCACGTCCAGGGGCAGCTGGGTGGGTGAACGCCTGATGACAGCAGCCCGTGTGTGCACGTGTCAGTGTCCTTAGGAGGGACTCGTTGGGCAGGACGGGT